AAATGAACTTAACAAAACATAGATTTTATGATAATCAAGTTTATTCAAAATGACCTCTGTGATTTTGTATACAGACAGGCCTTCAATCTGCGCGGCCAGTCGTCTATCGCAGCACGAACAAGGTCCATGTCAATATCGGCGGCTGCCTTAATCAAGGATGTCTTGAGTGACTCCAAATTGTGATAAGGCTTTGAGCACGCCTTTTCCTCCATGTGTTGCCATATCTTGCAATCTAACGGGCTCTAATCTGGACTGGAGGAGGGCCAGTCTTCGTGCCGGATGAAGGCGATTTCACGCGCCGCTAGCCAGTCTTGTGTGCTCTTTGCTCTATGAGCTGGCGCCGAATCTTGTTGGAATACCCAGTGCCTGTTATTTAACATGGTATGAGAAACAGGTTCCACAAGGTTCGTCAGGACTGTATTTTGATACACAACTCCATTAGTTTTTACACCTTTCTCACAAAAATGTACCTCTGTTAAGCCCCAATAAGAAAATGACCTCGTTGGACACGCGGAATATGGTTTCTCGCTTCTTCACTACTGTGTGCGTACACCTTATCATTTTGTTTGTTGTAGCTCTCTTCTACGGTAAAAATTTTTTCATCCGAAAAAAGAATTTCCCTTTTTTTTCCGCGTACCGCTTCAACAAAGCGCGGCATCTCTTCAGTCTCTGGTCCATTAGACGAGCATTCAAACGATATGCCCGAAGCCCTAAGTCTTCATTGAACTCCCTTTTCACCGTGGTTCTGCTTAACCCCATCTGAAGGGCCAACAGTTTTTGCTTACGTTAGGGATTTCTTTGAATTCGCGCCTTCACAGCTTTTATCACTGCTGGAGTCCTAACAGACCGAGGGCGACCACTTCTTGACCTATACTCTTCATCTATACTAGTCTTCATTGTATCGTTTGATGGTACGATAAACGAATCTTTTGGTTATATTCAAATTTTTCAGTATGTCAAAAATTTGAATTGGCACGTAACCGCAACGATGCAACGCAATAACTGCAACATGGTCTTCTATAAGCGTCCACTCCATATTTAAAAATGAGTAAAATTCTAAAAAGTATACATTTTTATGTTCATGAACAATTCGAATTCCATAAACTTTTTTGTGGTCAGCATTCTAAAAGAAAAGTTTATACTGGCTAGTTGACTCATGTCGAATTGTATTAAATAAATGTTTATTTCTTAAAGTATTTGGTCTAAGGAACCTAAATCATAAAAGCAAAAGATAGCTGTAGAAATTTAATTTAAAAAAATATTTTTAATCTATATTTTTTAAACACTAAAAACGCTGTTCGCCACTTCCGCCATGATTGTGATGTCTCTTGAAGTAAACAATTAAATGTCATTCGCGTGTTACTGTGGGTGGATTCTTTCGTCTGACTAAATTTATCATAAAAACTTTTAACTTTAGAAAAGTTTCCGTTTACTGTTTTTGAAGTTATACTTCTTTAGGCGCGTTATGAAAAAATGATGAGAGTGAAATTTTAAGATGCGCGCGCATCACTGTAACACAAAATTTTAACATAATTTTAACATAAGTTACTTTTGTGTTTACCGCACATTAAGAAAATCTAAAAACAAAATAGAATCTCCATTTAGTGGGTGCTAACGACTGCATTGTGAAGGCCTATCAAAAGTATTTATTAATCTGGAACAACGGAACCAAAGCGCGATTCAGGAGACTACAGCGCCATCTCTTGACCATTGGTGTAGTAGAACCAAAAACCACATCTTTATTTTTTGTAATAAAGTAACAGTTATAGGTATTCATATTTATAATATTTATCCACATGTTTCTAGTTTGTATATTCAGAATACGTGTTTGAGTTTCATACAAGTGCAAATCACATATGTTCTAATAAATTATATTCAGTAGCGATTTTAATTGAATATTTTGATTATTTATTTATTTTTTCAAATTAAAACTGAACTTTATTGACTGTGTCCTTTTCCAGACTTTTTATTAATTTATTGTAATTAATTATTTGCATGCAATTAAAAACTAATTTTAAACGATGCCAAAGAAGGATAACTTCTCACGCGCCTACATTAGTACACGCACCCATTTTTTTTTTGACAAAACTAATTATGGATGCGGGCTTTGTGAAAGCAGAAAGCACATATCTGCCAAGAATTGACGCATTGATGGTTGGTGAATTTTTTGAACTAAACCCCGATTTCTGCTCTGCGGAGCAGAGAAACGACAAGGCATCTATGTAAGTTCAGTGCATTTAGTATTACAATAGTAATAAACATAAAACTGATACAACATATGAATAAGTGTAATAAAGTTGCGTAGGTTAATTTCTTTCGGCACTTTAATCCACAACTTTCCTGGAGTCTTCAAGGATGTGTTTTTATATTCTCGTACAATACAATAATGATAATTACTTTATTTTTCGTGGTATTTATAAGAAATCATGTTTTTTTATTATAAACTCAGATAAGTTATTTTCTACGTGTTTACGAGTTTTTGTTTACTACAGTTGACGTCTTAGCATAGATAATCTATAGACCAAAATGGCCGACAGCGTTTTTGTATGTCCATGAAAAGTCTATTTTCAAATTAAAGATTTGTAGCTTTCTAGGTCTCAAAAAAATACAATAAAATTTTTTTCGGTCTAATAGAACATTTATTAACCATTTACCCTTTTTCCAAAAAGGGTCAACTAACCTATTCTGGCGTGATTCTCTAAACTTAAAACTAAATTTAACATCTGTCTCTCCTTTTCATTCTTTATAGAGAATGACAAGGAGATACTGCTGTCAAATTTAAGTTTAGGTTTAGAGAATCATGCTAGAATCGGCACCACTGTGTGACAATACTTATGACCTGACTGTGTATATATTTAGACGCGTCATTAACAGGAAAACACGAAATTAAGATACTGCAATGCAAAAAACCTGGCGGCGCTATTAAAAGAAATCCAATATTAATACGGTTTCTAGTTTGATTTCGTTTGTGTTTGTGAATGTATATGGATCACAATATAACTAATCAAAAAGTTGACTATGACTTAAAATTTAACATTTTAGAATATGCGAATTAAATACTACTTATGAAGTATAATGTACTAAATAAAGCCTACTTTTATAAAATGCCTTATTTTTATCAAACATATCTATCATAATGTATTCATTTTCCAATATTTAATAATATTTACGAGAAGATTTCTTAATTTGCTAATTTTTGTTTGTACGGATATGTTTTTTTTATATTATTCTTTATCTCTTGCTAGTCAGATTAGAAGTCTCATTTAATATGCGACTTCAAATCTGACTGGCAATTTAAGAGAAATATATAGTAAAATAGAATGTTGTTCAAGGATCCCATGGTAACGCTTGATTAAAGGCCCAGAAATACATATTTTAATGTAATTTATACTAATAACAATATTCCTATAATTTAAGAACATAGGCTTTGTTAAGTCACTATGTTTTTAAAAGGCCTATGGCTAAGCTTCCAGAATTAGCTCTTTTTAAGTGATTTCTGAAATAGATTGTAATATGTTTTTTTAATTCTTCGCGTTCCGTACCTGCTATATTGCTAAAAGCGCATTCAGCATTGCGCGTAGAGTCAAAGAAATAAGGTCTACCTTCTTCCGCACATAGCAATAAGTCGTAACATTTCACGAGCTTGCATTTCAAATTATCATAACTCTATTGTTTTAGACTATACGATCATCTTATGGAGCTCCGTGGATCGTCCAATGTACCTTTTCGACAGGTTTCGGACACGATTTTGTTCGTGTTCTTGTAGGTAGGGTATTTAATATTGTTGTTTCTTTAATTAGTCCTTCGTTTTGATCGCAGAGTGCGTGGGCGCGTTGTCGTGGTGAAGAAGGACCCCGCGGACCCCGGTGTTAGGTCGCTTGTTGCTCATTGCTGAAATAAACTTCTGGCAGGCATTTTGTGCTATACTTACCATTCGGCGTTGATGCTGCTTTGTACCCTTAGTAATAGGACCCCGCTTTGAATATGAAATTATACATGAAAGGTGACTTTCATTACATAATTTGGGGTATACGACAATAGTTTACTTGCATAATGATTGCCTGGTATTAGGTACATAAATAGGACTCATTCCTTTGAGCACAACCCCTTCAAGAGCATGACACACGAACCAGTTTGATTTTATTACGCCATATTTAAACTTAGAATGTTTAGGATTATCCCGATTTTATTAAAAAAGAAATGTTTAATTAATATAGCGTATAATATTTGGTTCTTACATAATATGAAATTAGCGGTTTTGTCGTACTGACTGACCACTTTGATCTCAAAATTTCTCCTCTTTGGTTAAGAATTCCAAATTAAAATTTATAAATTCATTTAGCTGGTACATTTGAGTTTTAATAACAGCCATTTATTTGTTTTTTCCTCATTATTTTTTCTTTGGCGTCGTTTATTGACTCAGAAAAAGTTACTTGTGAGTGTTTGGTGGACTAGCGCCGGTGTCGTTCATTACGGCAGTAATCTATTGTCAGCAACTGCAAACAATGAAGGAAGAACTAGTTACTAAACAACCGAGATTGGTCAATCGCTCTATGCCACTGCTGCTTCACGACAACACAAGACTACACACTGCACATCAAACAACCACTAAGTTAGATAATATACAATTGGAATGTCTGCGACTTTCACCGTACCCCCCCCCTTGCTCCAACAGATTACCATTTTTCTGGAATTTGGACAACTTTTTACAAGGAAAAAAATTCAACTCCGATGCGGCAGTCCAAACCGCCTTCAAAGAGTTTATTGATTTTTGCCCCCATTTTTTTTTAGTAAAAGGATCAATGAACTACCTATGAGATAGCAAAAGTGCATAGATAACAAAGGTGCATACTTTGATTAATTAAATATATTTTACAAAAAATGTTTTTATATTCCTCCCGTGCAAAACGCCAATTTCATATTTAAGGACCTAATAATATATTTTATGGAATAAATTTTATTATTATTAGTTTTACTATTAACTTTTATAAAACATTTAGGTGATAGAAGAACAGCAGATTTCGCTCCAAATACTTCCCTGTATGAGATAATTACGGATTTGGCACCAGAAGAACTAAAATCTCTATCACAACCTACAATATTGTATATGCGACAAGAAGTTATCGGAGAGTTGGCTTTGAAAGAAAAAACATTGAGACAACTGGGGTTAATAGGTGGACGGGCAATTCTACGACTTTTAAATAAAGGAGAAGACGGCAAGTAAGATACACAAAATTACTATGACTATGTTAATCAGGACCCGTGCGCGTAAAAAAAGTACTTACAAAAAAGTAGAAAAGCTCCCAAAAAATATGTCTTTTACGCTTCAAAAACATAATTTCTTTTATTATCCACAAAAAAAATAGTAGCCCAACTCGGACACAAACCACTCATCTTATGTGTAATAAAAAAAAGCGTTGTAGTTTCGAAATAATGAAATAAACCCCGCAGAGTCGATGAAGCTAATTTTATGTTACCTCGTATAACTAACTACCTGTTAATTTTGTTATTCTGGACAGGCAAGCCAATGTATCAGCTGTCTACAGAAAATCAGTTTCTGAGAAACCACCTCCAGAAAATACTAATGACGTTAAAAGATTTTCACCAATTGAGCCAGAAGTAATATCCACAGAAGACGAAGCAGTTGCTGGATTTTCTAATGTTAATAAGATTGATACTAAAGTAACTAACTTACTTAAGTTACTTAAAAACGAAAATTTGAATAAAAACGTTGATAGGAACTCTGATGCAAAAGTTATAGATGAACAGCCTCCAAACCAACCCATGGAAGTGCCTTTAACACCAGCGACTTCTTCACCAATGTTTGTAGATACTCATGCAAACTTAGAGAGGCGATTAAACATAGAAGAGGAAGTTACATTTGTAAGTATTTTGAAAAGCACAGATGAAATTTGTAATTTCGAAACAGTCCTTTGTTTTTTAGGGTTCCGTACCTCAAAAGGAAAACGGAACCCTTATAGGATCACTTTCTTGTCCGTCCGTCCGTCTTTCAAGACAGATTTTCTCAGGAACGCGTGGAGGTATCGAACTGAAATTCATATCTAATACTCATATATACTGTCCCTTGGAGCTGTGAAAAAATCAAACTTCTAAGCCAAAGCAATCAAAAGATACAGCCGTTCATGCAGGAATCGAAACCTACAGGGTAGGTACTTCCCGTGAACTTAAAATCTTGAAATTTGGTACGAAGTAACGTCTTATAGTACAGATAAAGGAAAAATTGCGAAAACCGTAAATTTTTAGTTGGTACATCATTTGATAAAAAATATTTTTGAAAATTTTAAAGTTACTACCTCTTTTCTCATGAACGCGTAGAGGTATTAAATTGAGTTTGTACGGAACCCTCGGTGCGCGAGTCCGACTCGTACTTGGCTGTTTTTTTTTGTCAGCGCCTTCCCACGCCATTTTTATCTGTGGATATATATAAATATCTTCGTCTGCGTGGAAAATTAGTTTTCTCATACAAACTTCCATTCCCCTTTTCAACCCCTTGAAGGATGATTGGGATAAAAACTTTCTTAGCTATGCTTAGATTAAAACAAAAAGGGAAGATACGGCACTCGCGGCTCAAGAGATCCGCTTAAATTTTAGTGCACGATCACAATTCGCTGTAGTCACAATTGGACATTCAAACACGCTGCATGTTTTATGTACACTCATTATAACAATATTGCGTATATTATATGTTATGAAGATAAAACAATGCCTTCGACTTCAAGATCAAATAACAAATGCCTCGGCAACACTTCTCATTCTAAAACTGTAAAATCATTTTTTTCCCATAAATCACGGTTTATCATGAATGTTATTTACGTAATCGCCATTTTGTTATCAATATAAGGACAACAATACAGCTCAGCCGTTTGCACTCGTAAGGTAATCCGCCGTAAGCGTTTTATTTGCCGCAGGTACTACTTACCAGAATTTTAAAACTCAGCTGTAATTATTTTAAAGTTGGGGACGCAAAAGGCCATTGCGTATATGCAACCAGAAACAGCATACGAAGAACTAGACGACCTCCCAGACGACTTTTACGAACTAACTATAGAGGAAGTACGGAGAATATACCATGATTTACAAAAAAATCGTTTGGAGTTAGAAAACACACCTCTCCTTACAACTTCAAAAAAGGAGGAAATTCAAAAACAGGTAGGTATTTTTTTTTATTTCACGGGCTATTTCTAATCATCTTTCATGAGACTGGTTATAGTATAAGCTTCTCTACTAGTTAAGTTACCTACAATAATTATTATAGTTTGGAATAAATAAATTATAATTTGGAAAAAAACCATTAACTTGAATTATAGTAACAATACTAAATTTGCTATAGCACTATGATTTATTGGTATATGATGATGGCTCTTCGTACTCGAATTGCATCGCTTATCTCCAATCCATATTAAGACACCACATACCTACATTTATTATCTGGTAGGGAGGGGGGGTCATTTGCTTGGTTTTATATTTTAAGTATAATATCTTAAAGTCTGGAATATTAAAGATATTTTTTATTTTCTAAACATGCTAGAATTACACATTCTGAATAACGTCATGTTTTGTTACAGACTTCACAACAAAGGCTTGAATTGTATAAAAATGTAGTAGTGAGAATACAATTTCCGGACCGTATTATACTACAGGGTGTTTTTGCACCTACTGATATGATACAGAATGTTGTGAATTTTGTTAAGACCCATCTACAAACCCCTGAGAGACAATTTCACATATGTAAGTATACTAAGTGTTACAATTTATCCAAGATACTTAATTTACTACAAACATTTGTATGCCAGCTTTATTATTTACTACTAGTGACTCATCCTTATGGCGCGGTTACTCTTGGCCTTTAACCCGAATACGAGTGCCATTGAAATTCGGGTAAACGACTAAGTGCAATTGAACGGAGTAGAGTACGCTATTGTACGGGTAGTTTTCGTTAACACCGTCCTCCAGCCCGTATTCCAGTGTAAAACTGCTTCGGGTGCCCGAATTCGAGTAATGTCTGTCGTGCACCCGAATACGGACTAACGACCAAATGAAATTGCGCCATTACTCGCTACGGAGTCTCTGACATGTACAGGGGCCTGCAAAACAAAGTATATTTTTTTTAATTAAAATATTTCCTAAACTATGTCAGTTAGAGATTTAAAATAAAAAACGTCTTATAGCAACTTTTATTAGCTTTTTTTGACACTAAAGTAAACTAGACATTTGTAACGTTTAGATCTTTTTATTTCGAAAGTACTTATTTATAAAGTAATCTTGCGTACTTCAAAAGTTACTGCAATTTTAAAAGTATTACCTACTTAGTTTTGCAGGCCAGTGTATAATAAATTAAAAATCTTTTTGAAAAATTTCCTTACTGATGGTGAGTATATTAAGCAATGATTCCTCGCATCATTGCTTAATCAAGATCGCGCAAGAATATGTTTGTGATGTTGTGAATTCAAAATTATATTATTCTTTTTTTGCAGTTACAACACCATTAAAGGAGAATTTAGATCCGAACATGACCCTTATAGAAGCAAAGTTTGTCCCTTGTGTGCACATGCATTTTAAGTGGCGCGATGAGGAAGGAAATGGCATTTACTTGAAAGAGGAGATTTATATGAAAAAAACGTCAAGTGATGCAGCAGGCATTCTAGCTTCGAAATACAGGTTAGTGATTAAAATATCTTGATTTTTTATTTAGTCATACAATTAGATTACTTTATATCTTTTTTCCGCATGATTTAATTGAAGATTATTTTTTATGAAAATGCGTTCGCATAAAAGTTTCACATTCTAATCTGCATTTTCAAATTTACGTTTTTCGAATATCAACCCATAATATTTTATTTGAATCGTTCTTTGAGTAGTTTAATGTAGATTAAAGATAAATCAGCCACATTTAAAGTATGAGCAGAGTAAAGGATAAAGTTAAATAGATTTAAATCTAGTAAGTGCTTGATAAATTTTATTAATTCTAACCAGCAATCTCAATTAATGATTAGAGAATAAAAAATAGAGGGAACTGAGCTGGGAATGACGAGCGGTTTCACATACATATTACATTGTTTTATTTTTTATTTTGATTATATAGGTTTATAAACTCATAACGCTATATTTTAATGTTAATAATTTAAGGGCACCTAGTAGAAGAAAAATGGAGGAAGCCGCCAGCACTTCCAAAAACAACCAAGCTGCAGGGTCATCAAGTTCAAAGAATAGCAAAGTGCCAAAATGGTTTAAAACATAATAACAAAAAATATTGTTTAGATTAGGTTTTTTATCATGTATTCAGTTAAGCAGATTTGAAAGAGAGAAAGATTTTTATTTTATTTCCCTTCTTTTTTTGTTTATCGTAATAAAAATATCTACGTGACGTAAGTACCAAAAAAAATCCGAGCACATTTAGCAAGCTGCAATACCTCCCAGTTCGAAACAATTCTTTGCGACAATTTCAATTGATTTCAACGCTAAATAAAATTAGTGACCTAGCACCCTGACAGTCGCCTCTAATTGCAGTAAATAGGGTAAACTGCTTATATTTAAAGATTGGGACAAACGGTTTGACAGAAAAATAAAAATAAATGAATTAATGCCTTTTTTTCTCCATTAAACCAATAGGCTAGTTGACTCATGTCGAATTGTATTAAATAAATGTTTATTTCTTAAAGTATTTGGTCTAAGGAACCTAAATATATCGATTTCACTTCATAAAAGCAGAAGATTGCTGTAGAAATTTCATATAAAAAAATATTTTTTAGTCTATATTTTCTAAACACTAAAAACGCTATTCGCCACATCCGCCATGATTGTGACGTCTCTTATGGTAAACAACTAAATGTCATTCGCGTGTTACTGTGGGTGGGTGGATTCTTTCGTCTGACTAAATTTATCTTAAAACACTTTTAACTTTAGAAAAGTTGCCGTTTACTGTTTTTTTTTTGAAAAAACTAATTATGGATGCCGGCTTTGTGAAAACAGAAAGCACAAATCTGCCAAGAATTGACGCATTCATGGTTGGTGAATTTATTGCACTAAACTCCGATTTCTGCAGAGAAACGATTTTGAATATACCACCAAAACGCTCGGTTCGATGACGTCAACTTGTTTTCAAAAATTTAAAAAATACCCTGAGTATAAATATTTAGACGGTACTTTACATTTAGCCAATTACAGAAATTCTCTTTGTATTCAATTTAAAATTAACTCTAAGAACGTAAGAAAGGCAAAATAACCCAATAAAATATTTTATAATTAAAACTCATTTTACGAATGCTCAATTTATTTATAAAAATAGAAACATAATAATTATTATTAACATTAATGTACATCATATTAAAAATAGCAGTAACAATAATTTAAATATACATATTGATAACGCGTATTTACATCATAATAAATAACCACATGTGTAAAAAGGATGTTTCTACAGCCAAAACAAATAATATTCTCTATCTTTACTATCTTTTATATGACGTAATTCATGTGTAACTTTGAAATTCACGCACGGTATCTCAATGTCTGTGAGTATTCAAATTTCGTTTATTTAGTTGAGTTAATGAAGAACGAAAAGCTATGCGATCGGAGCGCATATCAACGGCCAGCGGGAGAACCTGACCAGAAACTCGGCAAGGGCAAGTTTTGTTCGCTCCGTTTTATTTTATATGGGAGTCATCAGTGAAAAAATAATTATAAAGTACTTTCTATTTTTGAGCTGAGCTTTGATAAGGTAAAAAAAAATTCAAGAGTATCAGTACAATGGAAAAGAGCAGACTCATCCCGACCAGCAGCACACGTTCACGAGCATGACTCATGAACCAGTTCAACCATATTTTATATAACGACCTATCCATACGATACCACCGACAAGGTATGTACCTTGTGGGTATGAGTTCCACCGGGATCTGTGACGTGTTACCTTCTTCTTTACTAGAGTATTATACGATCCTGTTACAATGCAAAGTTGCGAAGGTCGTAGCAGACATATCAACTCTGAAAGGGATGTTCATCGTATTGAAACTCCCTACTGCAACAGACTTATCGGAACCGTAATGTTATCGCTTCGTCTCGGGACTAGTTGTAAATCTACCGTAGTCTACCAAATCGTGAGGATGACTACCGGTAAGCTACGGTAACAATTGTACATTATGAAGTAGTAAAAAATATGGCGAGTTTACAATGTTTGAGGCGACATGATAGACTGGATACGCTAAAATAGTTGATTATTTTTATAATTTACATTTCAGTCTGTTTATCCTGATTCCGATAAAAGGCTAGTTTTGTAACAAAATAAACTAATGAATGACATAGCTGGCCTGAATTTCGAACGTAAGAGTTCTCATACATTTGGCAATCCTGCGCGACGTGGTCTCGCCCGCGACAACACAGATCCTGGGACAGCACTTTTGTGCTAAGGATCCACAACGAGTCTATAAAGATTATTGCAGCACAGGCTTCTCTTTCAACAATATAACCGAAAAAACATCCATTACACACATATATTATTTTAATTATGAAAAACAGTCACAATTTGATGTAAGAAGGCAATGTTCCTAATTTACATCTTGAGGGTTTAATTGCTTTAGGTGTTGAAGTTTCTGATTTTGTAATTACTTCACTATAGTATCTACGCTCTCCAGAACTTAGGTCTGAGTTTTGAACTTCGTTATTGTCAACGTTTTTCGAAGTTATCTTTACATTCTTATTTGTATTTTTCGATTTAATAAAACTGGTTGATTTCTTTTTATCTATTCGAGAACATATTATAGATCTATTTGCAGTGTTTTGACTTTGCGTAAATGAATCATTAACAATATGTCGATTTGAACAATTATTGCCTTTCTCGCAATATCCTTTCAAAAAGTCTTGACATATTTTGGACTTTTCATTTAATTTTACGTGCAAGTATGGACAATTATCTTTAGTACAAATACCTTTTAAATAAAAGTAACAAGTTGGCATCTTTTTTGCTGAGACATCATGAGACAGAAGACATGTTTCTTCTTGGCATATGCCTTTTAAAAAATTTCTGCATACAGAGACATGTTTCTTGTCATGTAAAAAATCACAAATACCATTAATACTTCTTAGACATTTTCCATATTTTCTATATAAAGGACATGGAATATTATTCTTCTTCAAATTTTTTTTTGTCACTTTTAATTTTGCATTTCTCCAATTTTTGTCAATTGAAAATGATCTACTCAAAGATTTCGATTTTGTTACAACCGTCACTGTGCTAGGTTTATAAAATTTATAATTGTTTTTATAATATTTCTGTGGTTTTGAAAGAGTAGCTTTATGGCTACTTCGATCTTCTGTTTGATTAACAAGTGCAGAGTCCGTAAACTTCTGATTCGAAGTATGATAAACCACTGATGGTTGTTTGGCAACCTGCAAATCCTTTGGGACTTCGATATCCTTTTTAAATTTCTTTATAGCTATAGATTTATATTTGTTAATTTTCATAGTTGTCTTCACTTTTTCAGAAACATGACATTGGCTAGGTTGATTAGTATTTTGTCTCACTAAAGTATATCTTGTTCTTGATATAAATGGTTGTGGTAAACTTTTGTCAGATTGAATATCAACGAGGGCTAAGTTTGACTGATTATTCAAATTTACAGTTGAAATACTAGAGACCGGACGAGTTTCCTGTAATCTGCAATCTGCTGCATTATTCAAAAAAATTGGATTGACATAAATTTTACTTTGATTTGGTAAAATTTGTTTGGAAAATTTTGGATTAATATGCATGATTATTTTATTATGATTTGAAGAAGCAGATGGTACAGTAGCTGGAAGCAATTTCTTAAAATTGGGATTCACATAAACTTTATTTTGGTTCGCCATTCCTTAGCTAAAGGAAGTATCTTATTAGTTATATAAATGTATCAATATTAATGTCACTTAAGAGAATATTGGTAAAATTTATTACCAATTTTACAATTCAAACTACGTACATAAACTGGTCTTAAAGAGTTTTCTATTTCTTCTCGTAGTAAAGCGTTGAACATTTCCAAGTGAATAGCGAGTTCACTTGTCTTGTCTCCATTGAACCACAATATACTTGTGTGAAATGATGGATTCTAAAAATCACAAATAATACCAATTTTAGTTTTCAGCTGTAATTAATATAATTAACCTTAGATTAGAACAAAAAGGGAAGATACGGCACTCGCGGCACAAAAGTGATCCGCTTAAATTGTGGTGCATGACACGTTCAAACACGCTGCATGTGGGTACACGCAACAATATTGGGTACATTGTGTTTTAAAGATAAACAATGGCTTTGGTGCTTTACTCTTAAGAACACAAATAGTTCGAAATCAAATAACAAATGCCTCGGCAACACTTTTCATTCGTAAAACTGTAAAAATATGTTATTTACGTAATCGCCATTTTGTTATCAAGAAAAGTACAACAATACAGCTTAGCCGAGTCCGTACACTCGGTAGCGGATTCGCCGTTCCGCTCGCGCTGCCTTTAAGCGTACTGTTCTGTCTCGCTCGCTCGATTGAATGTTTATATATAGAAGTGTGCGTGTGTGAGAGTTGCTTATGTAGTTGAGTCAGATGATATTTTATTTAATGCAGTATGAGTGTATCCTATCTTCCCTTTTTGTTTTTATCTAAGAGTTTGACAACTTATTATTACATAGATCAGAGTGCCCAAAATAGCTACAATAAATAAATAATAAAACATCTAAGATATGTTTCTTTCACGACATTCGTCAATAAAGATTTCAGCTATGTGGTCATGTATTTGCATACTCAGAGAATTCATTAATAAAACATAATTTGAATAAATATCATACAAATGTCGCTAATTTAAACCCCCAGGCTAGAGTAGATAAACTATTAACGAATTAACTTAATCAATCTGAAGTAAATAAACGTTAGATTGTTACCTCGTAAAATAAAGGTAGCTTGAAATCTCCTAAAACTTGATCAACTTTGCTGCAAAGCTGCAGCAAACATTTCTTGGTAAAATAATCCACTTCGAGTACAATAAAAGTTCTTGTTTTATTTTCGTTACAATAAATCCTCACAGAAGAAAATTCTAATTCAAAACTGCAACAAAGAGGATATCATGATACAATGCTTATTAAAATGTATATTTTTTTGTAGAAAAATTATACTTGTCACTGGTCTACCAAACTGAAAATCTGTGTAGTTTTTAAATCAATGCACTTCAAAATACATACCTTTCAGTGTCACTGAAAGTTTCTTGTAGCGATTTAGTAAATGGGGTGATTAAATGATACTGCAGAACCACAGTTTTAGATAAACTTATATGGAAATCATTTGCTCTGTGACAAAGTCGCTGAAGATCTTGATTAACTGCCTTCTCAATTTTATTAATAAAATTTAGGAGAATATCTTCTTTGGGATCTAGAATAATTCAAAAAATAATAGGAAAAATAATATCAGTGACGAAATAATACCAAATATTATACGAGTATTAAGTACGTATTTTGTATATCGATAATTTTTAAATTACACTCCGTCATTGCCGCTCTCAAGCCCGGATAAGAAAGGAGGAAGGTTGGTTTGGACGTGACCTGTCCACCCATAAAAATGTCAACGCCGAGTATGGGCGGCGGTAAATTAACCTTTTTTTTTTTTTTGATACGCTGGGGAAATGCATCAAATTGCATACCACATGGTGGTTATGTGGGGCTCTCCTGCCCAGAAGGGGGAGGCCTACCCACTAAAACCCCAGCGATGGCGTGCGCTTCCTCCTTCCCGTGGAGTCAAGCTTCGAAGTGCGGGAGTATAGCACCGACTATAGCACGTTGACGCGCGCAGCCCCCAATTCTAGCTGTGCGCGCCTGTGCATTCCATACGCGGGTTCTGGGGAGCTCCCCCGGTCGACATGTCGCGGCGCGTTATACATTCACTACATTCACCGCGTACAGGTTGGCCAGGATTTCGAAAGGGTGGGAGCGCCCCTGAACCGTCGCTGCCTCGTACGAGATTGGCGGTAAATTAAACTAATGTTATCTCGCAGAGATGGTTATCACAAACCATAAGGAACTAAGGCCCGTATTATAGAAAGTAATCTAGTCTTGAGCATAGTTAAAAAGGGATGTCGCTATACCTAGTCAGGACATAAATTCTGTCACATGTTTAATATAAAATAATTGAAACAAGTTTATTCAATCTGTAACCATTTATATACCAAAATGAACTTAACAAAACATAGATTCTTATGAAAATAAAGTTTATTCAAAATGACTTTCGTGGTTTTGAATACAGGCCTTCAATCTGCGAGGCCAGTCGTCTATCGCAGCACGAACGAGGTCCATGTCAATATCGGCGGCTGCCTTAATCAAGGATGTCTTGAGTGACTCCAATTTAGGATGAGGCTTTGAGCACGCCTTTTCCTCCAAGTGTTGCCATATCTTGTAATCTAACGGACTCAAATCTGGACTGGAGGAGGGCCAGTCTTCGTGCCGGATGAAGTCGATTTCACGCGCCGCCAGCCTGGGCTGGCGCCGAATCTTTTTGGAATACCCAGTGCCTGTTATTGAACATGGTATGAGAAACAGGTTCCACAAAGGACTGTATTTTGATATACAACTGCATTCGTTTTTACACCTTTCTCAAAAAAATGTACCTCTGTTAAGCCCCAATAAGAAACTCCCAACCATACCATGAGCGAGGATGGTCTTTTGGGTTCGTTATGTAGCTTCTTGAATGAAAGATTATTGGGGCATTGTTAATATTTTTATTGCACACTCACATGTTAACAGCTTTCAGCCATGGTGGATACCGGGGAAGAGAACGAGCGGCCCTCGACATAGACAATAATAATTTATTTTAACCATAGACTACAACATGCCCTTTTTTCTTTTAAGACAAATGACAGTGACAGATGACACTGACATTTATATGTTGACGGATGACATTACAAACATAACCCTACTTTGCTTAAAGTTACGTTACAAACAATTTAACAATTTTGAAATACATTGTAAACATTATTTACTTCCTAATTTATTACAAATTTAGGGCATTAAACTTTACATAAAATACTTAATTATTGTGGTGTATGTCAACAATACAAATTTGAAATTTACTTAGTCAATACTTAAATGAATTACATGTCAATATTATATTATCAATTATACATATTTTATTATAGACTAGTGGCCCGCCCTCGCTTCGCTTCGGTGTAGAGCTGTAGTGTAAACTATAGTTTCTGTTCTCAGGCTTGTGCTATAAACAATGACTTTATTTATATAATTACACGTGTTATTGTGAGTCAACCATAAAAGATAGACATATGCTGTTGCGGAATATTTTTTAGGCAATTTTATGTAGAATATTTTCGTCATACATGATTTCTATGTAACTTTAACCATTAAGGCTTCGCGTGTGCAACGCGACGGAAGCTTAAAAAATGGAGTAACTTCTCCCGTTTTCCCAACATTTCCCTTCACTACTCTGCTGCTATTGATTGTAGCGTGATGAAAAGTATACTATAACCTGCCCAGGAGTATGAAGAATAATTGTACCAAGTTTCGTTAAAATCCGTCGAGTACTTTTTGTTTCTATAAGGAACATACACACAGACAGACAGACAGACAAAAATTTTACTGATTGCATTTTTGGCATCAGTATCGATCACTAATCACCCCCTGATAGTTATTTTGAAAATATATTTCATGTACAGAATTGACCTCTCTACAGATTTATTATAAGTATAGATTTAATCTCTGTTTTTTCTTTAATAATCTTCCCTTTGAACTATATTTTCTTTCAGCATTTATAACGTCGTTATTGTCATTAACAGGTAAGGGTGATATTTCATTTCTACTACAACTTGGAATAGGTAAATCGCTTGGACTTTCAAGTAATTTTTCTATATTTTTACATTGAGAAGACATAGGACTTTCATTTTGATATTCGTTATAGTCATGTAGACTCTCCGGTGACACTATAGGTTCATTGACATTTACAAAATTGGAGATTTTACTATATTTTCTGACTGACTTTCTGACATGATTTCCGACTGACATTCAGATTGGTTCAAATGACTTGACTCTACTGATAAGAAAGAATCTGAGGTGTTGCTCAGTATTGGACTTTGTGATCTTGACTTAGGACTTGACTCATGAGTGAAGATGAAAGTGCAACTATCATCCTCCTCTTCAATAATTTTTGACTTTTGACTGATTTTTGACTTGATAATTTCTTGATTTACTAGACCTGGACATTTTACTTCTTCAAATTTTACATTTTTGCTGTTATATTCTGAGACATTATTATGACTAGACTTTAAACAATTTGACTTGTAATCAAAGCGAATATGCTGACTATTCCTACGATAAGTTACATTGTTACCATCTTTGACAATGAAAGATCTCGGGTATTTTGTTTTAGAAACGATTTTACCTTTTGTCCATATAATATCTTTCGGATTTTTCTTAAAAAATATCTGATCATTTATGCGAAATTCAGGATATTTTTTACAGTTTTTGTTGTAATAAGATTTTGTTCTTTGAATGTTACTTTGTTTCTTTTGATAATGTTTTGAATGCTTACCAATCTTGGCTGCGACCCAAGCATTACCCACCCTGCAGGGCAATTTAGATCTTAATGTTCTAGACATTAAAAGTTGTGCGGGTGAACTTAGGTTCCCTCTAGGTGTATTTCTATATTGTAGTAAGCCTATGTAAGGATCTGACCCTGACTCATCACTTTTTCTTAATATGTTTTTTATTATTTTTACAGAGACTTCGGCTAAGCCGTTGGATCTTGGAAAATGTGGACTTGATACAATGTGTTCAATGTCCCATTCCTGTAAAAAATTATGAAATTCAGTGGAGTTGTATGGTGGACCTCCATCTGAGACCAACTGCATCGGAATGCCATGACGAGCGAAGATTGATTTTAAATGTGTAATGACATTAGCTGTTCGACTATCCTTATTTAATAGTGCAATTTCAATGTAATTAGAATAATAGTCTACCACTAACAAATATTTCCTACCTTTGTATTCAAAAAGATCTGTAGCCAATTTTTGCCAAGGGAATAAGGGTTGTTCATGTGATAACATTGGTTCTTTTGTTTTATTTGCAGAATAAATAGCACATGATTCACACTGTCTAACCTTATTTTCAATATCCTGATTTATATTGGGCCAATAAACTACAATGTTAGTTACCATACTCCTCCGAAACGGCCTTTGATACCACACACAATAGGTTGAAGACCAATCTTTTTTCAATACAAAAAAGATGTCATAATTCTTCTGTTTTTAATTTATTTGGGTGCTACATATGAGTCAAATTTATTCGTATGGCCGTCAGATCGTTCGTTATCGCCGTTCCGATTTTCATGCTTTTAACATCAAGTGCAGCATTTTACTTAATTTCGGGGTATATCACTTTCTTAGTGTTTCCATACTTACCTAGAATGTTTAAAACTTAGATCTACGAGAATTTAAATAAAAAGCCTTTAAGGAAATGTGTACATAATCGTAATCGCGATGTCTTCATGGATCGTGGTCAGAACAAGCAAAGCTGTTGTATTTGATCGATGTGATATAAGGAAGGTAGGGCAGTATAGTTCACTTAATTTCAATGATGAAAAATCGTACATGGTATTAAAATTGATGATCGCCTTTATTTCTTACAATATAAACTATAGTAGGGGAGCTCATGTGGGGATTTTTGGATTAATTCTCCTCTTGCTAATTTCTTGGTCTTTTCAATACCTTGATGTCCCTCATGTAAGATATTCATAATTTCAGTACTGAGGTATAAGGACTGAATTATTTTTGAAAATGATATCATTAATGACATGGATTTCATCTTTGATATTCCAGTATGGCAATGTTAATTTATCACAAAGTTCCTTGCAATTTGGCCATCCATTTTGATAATAATCTTTTAATTTTTTAGAGACTAAGTCTTGGTTAGTATGATACAAAATTTTTTCAAGTTTTTGTGGAGAAATAGCTAAGTTGGAAGTTAATAAATTTATGTGAATATTAATATTTGAATCTAAATCTTCTAAACTAATTAATTCTTGGTTGAATTTATTGTCTTTGACTGGGGCACGAGACAATGTATCGGATATGTACATTTCTGAGCCCTTTGTATAAGATACAATCAAGTGATAAGCCTGCAAAGTAATCATCATACGTTGTAATCTGGTTGGTACTTCAGCTAAAGGTTTATTGAACAAGGTAACTAATGGTTGATGGTCTGTTTCAACATAAATGGGTTTTCCATATAAATATTGATGAAATTTCTTGCATCCAAATACTATTGCATAAAGTTCTTTTTCTATCTGTGCATAATTCATCTGACTTTTATTTAAGGACTTTGAGGCATAAGAAATACCCTATAATTTATCATGTAAAATAACTGCACCTACTG